AGAAACACTACCTGAAAAACCATACCCCCGGCCGGGATTGAACCCGCGGTCATAGAGTCTCAAAACTCCAGCCCGTCGCGTTAGCCACTAGACCAGCTAGCCACAATAAGATTCATCCAACTAGGTATATTTCTACACCATAGGAAAGTTAGCACAGGCACCTCTGTGACCACAAATGCAAGTTTTTACAGACGAATCTCCAGCTAGCGTGGCCGTGACGAACTCTAGCTCAAGTCCCTTCACTGCCGTCAACATGACTCAAGAAATCGTAATGACACGATTGCAAATAAACCATACCCCCGGCCGGGATTGAACCCGCGGTCATAGAGTCTCAAAACTCCAGCCCGCCCGACCGCGGGTTCAATCCCGGCCGGGGGTATGGTTTATTTGCAATCGTGTCATTACGATTTCTTGAGTCAAACACTACCTGTTTATAAATTCAAGTCTCTTCTCAAAGTTCACTTACTCACTCAAAACCAAATAAATACTGAATAACTGAACCATATAAATTGTATATCGTAAATGTTACTCACAATTATATCACACAAATGTTAAACCTAACTTTGTTATTTTTTTAAATACACTACCTAACAGAATACTCCATTCTACTGAATGAACAGCAATGCATGCAACCATAGGACCTGTCTTTGTAATACTCATTTGTATTTTATAGTTATCTGTTTACAATAATGTCTTATCACTGATTTCATCATTGCTTAGTTAATCTTAAGTTAATTTTAAGCCAGCCCGTAATGCTATGCATATAAGTGGCTTTGGCATGCTGCTCTTACCTGTATTTTTTGTACCTCTGTTTGTATGCTAAAATTTCTAAATAAATAAATAAATAAATAAAGAGCCAAAAAAAAAAAATAATGAGAATACAAACAGACGTGGCCTAGGAAAGGCAACAAATAGATCTGGACACCCTGAACGTCTGGTCAGACAAGTGGCTACCGGAGTTTAACCCCAGCAAGTGCAAAGTTATGAAGAGTGAGGAAAGGCAAAGAAGACCGCAGACTGAATACAGGACCGTGGAGTTAGTACTGTACCAAGTATATCACCCGAGGCACATAATCAAATAACTGCTGCAGCAAATGCATGCCTATCAAATCTAATACTAGCTTTTTAGACATCTAAGCACTGTATATCGTACAAGGCTCCCGAGGCCAGGAGTGAAATTAGTAGCGACCAGCGAAGAGGCAGAGCCAGGAGTTGAAACTCGACCCCCTGCAACCATATATGTGAGCGCTCGCGCGCGCACGTGTATAAAAATGCTTTTATAACTGTTACACTTTTGGTGTGTGATTTTGTTTTATTGTAAATATAGCAATTTTGACGTAGGTTCAACGTGACCCGGGTGGAAGCATTTCGTCGCTCTACCAATATAATTTTTTTAATCGTCATTTTCAGTCTGTGGTGTAATTCACCAGGATTTGAATATTTACCGACATCTAATATCTAGCTGATGGCTTTGTTGTCACACTGTCGCCACGAGACAGAAAAAAAGACATAATCTTTGATAAACATCGTGTGGTAAATGATACTCGCAGAACATGTAGATGTTGTCTTTTTTGTAAAGTGATCAGTGGGTGTGTGCACTGCGCTGTTAGTCGACATTTTTTTGCAGACTCAAGGTTGAGTCGCACAAGGAAGGTGCACTCCATTTTTTACAACATTAGCATAAATGAGGAGGGTATGGCGCCGTGCTGGGTCATAGTGTCTTACAAGGGTCAGCAGCTCAGGTTCTCCTTAACTCCACCAGTGAGGGTAATGTCCTCAATATGCTTACTTTCTGACAGAATTTGATATGAGTGTAATTTGAGTTATATATTAAACGTGCATACCTGGAGAGGGTTTCAGGGGTCAACGCCCCCGCGGCTCGGTCTGAGACCAGGCTTCGTGGTGGATCAGGGTCTGATCAACCAGGCTGTTACTGCTGGCCACACGCAAACTGACGTACGAACCACAGCCCGGCTGGTCAAGTACTGATTTTAGGTGCCTGTCCAGTGCCTTCTTGAAGACAGCCAGGGGTCTAATGCTAATCCCCCCTTATGTATGCTGGGAGGCAGTTGAACAGTCTTGGGCCCCGGATACTTAATGAGTTGTCTCTCAGTGTACTCGTGGCGCCCCTGCTTTTCATTGGGGGAATGTTGCATCTCCTGCCGAGGCTTTTGCTTTTATAGGGAGTGATTTTCGTGTGCGAGTTTGGTACTAATCCCTCTAGGATTTTCCAAGTGTGTATTATCATGTATATATCTCTCTCGACTGCGTTTCAGGGAATACAAATCAAGGGACTTCAACCGTTCCCAGTAATTTAGGTGCCTTATCGTAATTAAGTGTGCCGTGAAAGTTCTTTGTACACTCTCCAGGTCAGCAATTTCGCCTGCCTTGAAGGGGGCAGTTAGTGTACAGCAGTATTCCAGGCACATTTATATACTAACATTTAAATTATAAAATTTCCTGGCAAAAAGAGTGACAAATTATTTTTTCATCTACCTGGAGGGCATTCCGGGGATCAACGCCCCCGTGGCCCGGTACACGACCAGGCCTCCCGGTAGATCAGGGCCTGATCAACGAGGCTGATACTACTGGCCGCACGCAATCCAACGTACGAACCACAGCCCGGCTGATCCGGCACCGTCTTTAGGTATCTGTCCAGCTCCCTCTTGAAGACAGCCAGGGGTCTTCCGGTAATGCTCCTTATTGCTGGTGGGAGGCTGTTGAACAGTCTTGGGCCCCGGACGTTTATTGCGTTTTCTCTTAGTGTACCAGTGACGCCCCTACTTTTCACTGGGGGTATGTTGCATCGCCTGCCAAGTCTTTTGCTTTCGTATGGAGTGATTGCTGTGTGCATATTAGGGACCAGTCCCTCCAGAATCTTCTAGGTGTAGATTATGATATATCTCGCCTGCGCTCTAGTGAGTACGGTACAGTCAAGTGCTTCCAGGCGCTCCCAGCAGTCGTGGAAGAAATGCCATTTCGAAAATTGAGTAATGAACCATACTTGCGAAATTATATAAGAAGAAACTTTGTTTCGAGCAGATGAGCTAGGCTCTAGTGGAAACATCTTGTGCCCAGTCGTGGAGAAGAGAGAAAACTTCATAAACCAATTCTAGCTACACAGTATAGCTGGGAAACGTTTTAATTCCCTTTCATTAAGTAGTAGGTCCGTCTCTCGTTTACAAGTTGGAGTTGGAGTTCCTTATAACATTCTAAAATGGTTTGAAACCATAGCAATTAGTCTGAGACAACGAATAATTGGAGCATCACGTGTCTCACGTCACCACTTGACATATTAAACTTTTATTCCCACTATGTAACTATCGTCTACATGTAGTGGGGGTAGCTGCTGATGTGTACAAGTATGCTAAATAAAAAAAAACGTAAGATAAGATAAGATTTCGTTCGGATTTTTAACCCCGGAGGGTTAGCCACCCAGGATAACCCAAGAAAGTCAGTGCGTCATCGAGGACTGTCTAACTTATTTCTATTGGGGTCCTTAATCTTGTCCCCCAGGATGCGACCCACACCAGTCGACTAACACCCAGGTACCTATTTGCTGCTAGGTGAACAGGACAACAGGTGTAAGGAAACGTGTCGAAATGTTTCCACCCGCCGGGAATCGAACCCGGGCCCTCCGTGTGTGAAGCGGGAGCTTTAGCCACCAGGCCACCATAATATCTACATGAACAGAGATTTTATATATTGTAATATAATATTGGTGGAAATTTTGATAAAGTTTCGTCAGTACTGTTAGGGATATAGATTAATGTTGGTTGCTATCCTGAGCATGTCACGGACGGAAAACCAAGGTTGCATTATCGCCCACATGTAGGGAAGCCATAAAGGTTGTTATGAGCAGCTGTTACTTCTGGGTTAGGGTGTTATGGGTTGTGACTAGTGCATGTTCCTCCACTGTGAGTCATAGTTCAGGAATTTGATAAGTATTGTACCTGCAATTGTGGGAGTTTGTGCCGCCACATAACTGGGCTACAGTTGCCGGGAGAGGAACTTATCAGATGGCAGAACTTACTCTATGGAGTTGTTTTGTAGTTCGTGCAAAGCAGTACGTTTTAGAGAAGAGTTTTTGAGAATATTACTAAGAAACATAATAACAGGCCTTCTTTACCAGTGACCGGCTTGAGGCTAGGCTTACCAATGCTAACCGCCTGGTCAGCCACGCAGTTTGTGCTAGCGGTTCGCGGGCCATCACGATCCTCCCCTTCCTAGTATATATACTGCATCTCTTCCCTTCCTGGTTTTGTGACTAGTTAATCGTCCAAGTCGGGCCGAAACGTTCTAAGTATCATTCTCCTATGTGCTGGTTATTTTTATATCATATATTTGTTAGTGGCCCACTGGAAGACTATATCAGCTTGGAAATGTGCAGTGTCGTCAGTGGATAATTCTCTTGTACATATCCTATTATCGCCTGCAAGCACTTGTTCGAGGCAATAACGACATGCTCTAGACTCATATTGCCTGTGTTGTGTAATAATGTATAACCTAGGTGGCGTATGAGAGACTGACAAAGCTCAGATGCTTCCACACATAAGCCATCATGCCGTATGCAGGCCTAGTTTGGTGCCTCCACTTCTAGAATCGATATAGACTAGAGAAAAGAGATCTAGGGAAATGTTGGTCAAGTTAACGTTAGGGTCTGGGTTATGGGCAGCTTATCACACAGGATATTATTTATTTTAATAATTGGGAAGCGCTAAACTCGCAGGTTATACATTATTATTATTATAATCAAGGGGAAGCGCTAAACCCGGAGGATTATACAGCGCCTGGGGGGGATGTGGAAGGCATTCAGGCTTAATTTGGGGAACAGGAGCACAGATCCAATAGAGAGTTACACAGTCCCTGAGAATGAATTGACAGAACGATGCCTCTACCACTCCCTAACGACAAATGCGGAAGAAATAGTTCTTGTTATGTAATGTATTATTTTTTTAAGAAATATGAGAATGTGATGTTTATTAGAGTTTTTCTCACAGGATGACTTCGACTCGCTGCGGCCGCTGTGCTATCCTCAGACGGACGTGTTCCTGGTGTGCTTCAGCGTCGTGTCGCCCACCTCCTTCCACAACGTAAGGGAGAAGTGGCTGCCGGAGCTGCGTCACCACAACCCCCGAGCACCCATAGTCCTTGTCGGTACTCAGAGCGACCTCAGGACAGACGTGAAGGTGAGCACCATTCATAATAGTGTCTTTGTCAGAGGAAAGGTAGAGATGTTGCATATCGCGGGCAGAAAAGGATTTATCCTTCTTAATCCTCAACATACAATGTATCTCTAATCTTATGTACCATATTATGTAATAAAATATACCTACTGGTAAAAAAGAATAAAAAGATGGGGTGGTAGGGGAAATGGAATATCCAGATGGCTTCAGGAACAAATCCAAATATTCTTCCTTGAAGCCTTTTTATCCACTTCTCCAAGGCTATGGGTCCCACAATTTACACCAAAGGTGGACCCCATCCAATGAAAAAAAAATATAAATATAAATATCCAAAGTCTGAAGAGACAACACTAACACTGTGAGATAATTAGGCAGAGTTATAAATATATTCTAGCAGGAAAGGAATACACATTCCTCATCCACACTATAAGTACAAAATTCTCTTGGGGGCTGAACTTTACTGAGACCTGGTCATTTAAGTACGTATTTATAAAACTTATATGGTGGTAAAATTGGAGTATTTTTCAGTCCTCACGGTATGGCCAAGTAGGTGAATACTCAGCTGACATACATAGGGTATCACTTAGGTTCATGCCACTTAAGTGATGATCATTCTTTGTCATTAGATATATAACACTGGGAATACAGTAAAAAGTGACAACTGAATATCTACTTACACCAGTATGAAAAGTCCAGCTTCCGCACAGCTATCTCCATTTCAGTATTGGATCACTCCAGCCAGTAAGGCGCTACACCAACACAGATGCTGTAGCTCTGCCTTCCAGCTCAGCTATTAGCCCACGAGTTTTTCTAATACTCCCTCTCCCTTACCTTATACAGGTCACTATCTAGCCACCCTTCCCTCTTCGGTGTTCTTGTAGGAAAAGTCACCGAGTGGTATCTTTCTGTTGTTCACAGACGTTGGAACCCCGTGGCATTGGAGGGAAGTTTGGATTAGCATTTCTGACCAAAATACTAGTGTATTTTCAAAAATAAGATATTACAGGTAGATACGGGAAATGAGAAGGAACAAAGAAATACAAAATGGAACAGGCCACCTATGTCGAAGTGGAATAGGAAAGAGTCAAGGCAATGCCCCAACATTTCCCCCCTTACACCTGTCACACTTATCTCCTCTCATATCTGCCATCCCTCTAATCTCCATTTTCCCCAGCCATACTCTACAAATTTTGTATGGAAGGCAGATTATATGGAGAGGAGAAAAAAAGTGGTTAAAGTTCGTAAGACTATAGAAAAGAATGGAGTCATTTTCGGCAAATTTAGCTAATAAAATTTTAGGAAAACGGCAAATTGAAAAAAGCAGAGGAGAAAATAGACTTATCAGTGAGAGACTGGATAAGAAATGAAAGGTATTGGAGATACAAAGAATATTTTGGTAAGTTATTGAATGTAAATGATGAGATGCTGTATTATTGTATCTTCCTCTAGGGTGGCAAGAGATTTGTTAATTGGAAAGAGTCAAGAGGTGAGTATGGAGGAAATGATAGTGCTCGACTATCTTTTATGGGTTTTGAAGTAATTTGCTTGTGGTTCACCCTAAAATATATATGGCATTAATTTAATTCTCATGTCAAACATGTTGATATTGCAAGTACTGGAGTCCAGTATAAATTTATGTAAAAAGTAAATAATTTGGTAACCATATAGCAATTTTAGAGCACCTGTCCTTTCAAGAACAGACAAATGAAAATAGCACATTTTTTTTTTTTGGTAGGAAAATTTAAATTTACTGGCCAAACAACAAAGCTAAAAGGTATTTTGATTTCGAAATATTTAAATACTGTATTTCTTTGTAGTCTATTAATACTGTAGTGCTATAATCAGGAAAGAGCTAAACTCGTAGGGGTCACAGTGCATGAGAAATGGGAAACAAGCAGGTTCAATCCAAAGGGGAGGATATATTCACTTCCTTGGATCAAGAGCCCCTCACTGGTACTAAAGGGGGGGCTGTGCAGTTGCATTCCCCCCCTTCAGTGGAGGTTCTTTCGTGTCAGTGAGGGTCCCTTGTTCCAAGGAAATGGACTAGCTTCCCCTTCCTTGGATTGAATCTGATTGTCCAGACACTGCAAACTCTGCAGGTTTAGTGCTTACAATGGAGCTTCCCCCCCCCCCCCCTCTGTTGCATCTACATTCCTGTGTTTGTCTTTTACTGAAGATGGACATACAAAAGAACTGGTCTCTGCTTACAGTTAGTGAGAAATTGAAGTGTTCTTTGATATCCCTGTAGGAAAAGATAACAGTAAGTCTACAATATTACATGTATACAATTACACACCCAACTACCCAAGGAGTATAATTTTGTATAAAAAATGTATAAGTCAACTATGCAAAATCATTTATTCACACTGCAGATAAAAGGAGAGCAGTTTTTTGGGAAAATAGTTTTTTCACAAAACAGTTAAACATTTGCTATATCAATAACACTAGGCTTTAACACACTTGAAATGTATTTAAGATAAGAGTAATACTGTATATTAAAGATATTAATCACGCTGAATTATGTTGCGGGATATATTCATGGGAAAGTGCCAGTATATAGCACCTAGGGAATGGGAGGTAATTGCTTTGATCCAAGGAAGTGGATGCTATTTCTTATTCCATAGATCAAGAGCCCTTCACTAGTATCAGGGCACATTTTCAGAAAGACAGTAGGGTGGAAATTAACTTTGTTGTCAGTGCTACAGGTGTATTTCATTATTAAAAAAATTTCCTTATTAGTCTCCAATTTCACATATCATTAGATCCCTTAAGGACACTAACAATAATCATCATTTCCCAGGTCCTCATAGAACTAGCGCAGTACCGTGAGCAACCAGTGACAGAGGTAGCAGCTCGTCGCTTGGCCCACCAGATTGGGGCAGTTGGATATGTCGAGTCCTCGGCTCTCACACAGCGCAACCTAAAGGAGGTTTTTGACCAAGCCATCCTAGCTGCCCTTGAAGCCCGCAATATCCCAACACTTAGTCGAGGAGGGTCCTCCAAACGGTCTTTCTCTAGGCACAGAAAGATGGGTGGAAGTACAGAATGGGGCCACGGCCTCTTAAACACCATCTGGGAAAAAAACACACTCGAGTACACAGATACACCCTCTGGAAACGCGGGGCGGAAGCATGCTGTTTTTTCCTGACCCACGCCCCCCCCCGGGACCCCACACCACCACTTTTCCACACAAGAACCATGGCGGGGTGTAAAGACAAGACGAGGGGGGCGAATCCCGCGGAGACGTAAAACCTCACAACCTCAACAAAAACCCCAAATCTACACAATTCTTAAGCCCCTACACGGGGCTTCGTGCCCCGCCCCGTGTCTTAACCATGCATTGATCAAAACATCCCCCCTCAGAGTCTTGCAGGCAACGAAAACGGGCAATTCTTACCCTATAAAACAGTTTTAAAAGTGGGGCCTTCCCTAAACTTTTTTCTTTATACAAAATTATTTTTCATGTATAGTCAAGTATTTTGCCCCGTAAATTTTAACTTTATCATTTTTTTGCACTGGAATTTTACAATCGTATATCGTTTCCCGATGAAAGGGCAGTGGGACCCCTTCAGGGGCATCCCAAATTTTGAAAGGTGAAAAAGAATCACAATATGGTCTTAATGTGGTGTTCAATCTGGGAAAAGTGAAAAACATAAGTGCCAGGGAATTAGGGGGCCTGTGTCCCCGTAGTGTACAGCATCTGTGCATATTGTGAATCTTAAAGGAACCCCATTCTGATAAAGTGTTATCCCTACTTGTGAAGTGATGTCATGTTATGTAAGGAAATACGGAAAAAGGTAGATGCTATTTTAGTGAAACAATAAAATTATATGTGGAAAAATGCATGTTTTCATTACAGTATTATTTTAATTTTTACTTTATCACGTTGTGTGCACAGTGAATGTTTCAGCTGGGTGTATATAATATTATATACTCATGTACTGTACTTGAAGTATGGCTGTAGTAGAGGTCGACTGGAATTACTAGCAGTGAATGCTGCGTGCAATAAGATTTTGTTGATTCTTCAAGGATCCGTAGATTGTAATATATAATGAACTATTTGCAGTATGAAAAAATACCTGAAGTATATTGAGATCACAGCCCTTTCATATATATTTTATTCTGTATTTGATCAAAGAAGTGTTTAACCAGCAGTGTATCTTATACACACTTTTTAATGTGTTAGTCTGTATTGTACTATGTCAACTCATATTGCTGAGCCAAGTCACAGATTAAACCATTTATCATACAGTATTTGTTATATCATATTTTTCTTGCTTATAAACTGTAACTGATAGTGTACTTGTATATCTTTATGGTTAGAACATTTTGTTTTAGATTTTTTGTAAACCATAATGTTTATATGTACTATATTTACAAAACTATTCAGAAATTTTTGCTTTGTGATGGAATATTGTCATTTGTATGCACATTGCACAGATAAAGTAAAAATTTAAAATGTCCACTTGCAGTCGGTATGTGAAATAAACAATTTAGTCTATAGTAGGCACACTATAGTAAGAAATATATACAGTACTACAGGTTGGTATGTATTACAAGAGAATGAATGGTGTATGGATAAGGATGACAGCTACATGTTATTCCAATTCTAAATGATGTAAATTATTCAGACATTAATAACCAAGAAAATTATAGCAGTTATATTCATTGTATTTTTGTAATCAATAATAATTAGCCTCACAAGGTAATAAGAGTTTAAATGTTCTAAGTCCAGTATCAATGTATTGCAGTTACAACTGATGAAATCTTCCCTACTGAGGTACTGGATAAATGTCACACCACTGGAGTGTTGTATAGTACTGTAATACTCAGTATTCCTTCTGGGCATTTCTGTGGTAACAAATTTGATGAAAATGGGAGCCTTTCTTTAACAAGCCAAGCTTCATTACTGTAGTTGCTACATAAGTTTTACTTTTATCACAGTTTCAAAAATAAAATAAAATTAAAATTTTGTAATATGAATGAACCACTGAGATTGATATTGCATGTCATGCCTTTTAAGCTAATTGATGAAACAAGCAAACTATTCTAAAAAATAAGTTTTAATTTTTTATTTTATACATTGATAGATATGTTTTTGTGAACTAACATGATAGTTTTTTTTTAATTTGCACCAAAATGAGCTATGCAATCTAGCTGAAATTTACTGTGCATAGTTATTGCATGGCAGTATTATTTTATAACTATGACCCCTGAAGGGCAATACCGTGATGCCAGCAAGGGGCTCCAGATTTCCCAGGTGCTATATGACCCATACAGGTATAATTCTCCTCCCCTGAGAGTAATACATAATGTAATAATTTTACAACTATTGCAACAACGATCGACACTACTTATAGCAAAATGGTACTTACCGGACAGTTAAAGTCTGCAAATATGACTTTAAACGGATAACATATAATTAATTTTGGTGATATATTGATATTGGCATGTGGCTGAAGACAAAAAAAAAATATGTGAATCAATCAGAATGTTCATAGAAGCTTGGCTTATTACAGAATGAAAATTAATTTGTTTTCGTGTGTTGCTATAGAAGGAACATACAGTTTTTATTCCCAGTTGTTCCTACAAATTCATGGATTTCTTTACTCGCAAATTTCAATAACTCGACTTTCTTTTTATATAGATGTTCAACCAATGAATAGATTATCTTTTTCTTGCTCAGTATCTTTCCTATGCTTAAACCCCTTCATATTTTTGTCATTTCTTACATTAGAAACAACCACATTGAAGTGTAGTATGTGCTGTTCATAAAAGAAATAGTCTCTGAAACAAAAATAAGCCCAATACTGAAACAAAATCTGTTATGTACATTGTATTTTAACTTGTTTTTAGTTTCATAGGATTTGTAGGAATGCAAATTTGTAGGGATTACTATACTGCTGATAGTGTTTAAAGAAGTTTATATTGTTGAAAGGAATATGTTATCACTCCATACACCACATGATGAGGTACCCTTATGTATTCCATATGTACACATACATATTTCTTACCTTGCAAAGTCCACAGTGTACAATTCTATCAGACTTGGCTTGTTAGCAAACTGCACATTATTCAGTGCAAGATGTTCACCTCATCAGCTGCCTATTGAGTACTGTAGTGTTGCAGCACTTGTCTTTCACTTGTAGAATAATGTCCAACATAGCTGAAATTTACTGTAAACTTAATTTTATTTGAAGAGAACTTGCATAAAATTGCTTATTCCTGCATATCTTTCTTTATTAAAGTCAAAGCCACATATAATTGTATACAATCCAGTTTTATTTTTGCAAATGACTGTTACATTCTCTTGTAAAATCATTGTTTTTACCTTTGGACTATTGTACATTATCAGACCAGTGGGCGAGACCTTGACCTCTGTGGCACCTAGTGGTTGCCCATCCAATGCTAGCAACCAACACTATAGCTGAATGACTCGAATGGGATTAGTGCTTTTTTTCTATTGATATAAAAATCCCTTTACATGATTTGGATTCACCTCAAGCACTAGGTTCTTTTGTCATCAAACATGGGCCTACCTCATTCTACCTTGAAATCCATGTGGAGTGCTAGCCTCTAGTTCTTCTAAAAGTCCTCTTTTTCAGTGCATAACATCTCTGGCACCTGTTGCAAGCCCTCCAAAGGTGCTTGGCTTTCATGACACCTACAGCTTATCTGGAACAGGTGAGGCTCGTTTTCTGTGTCTGTTCTCTTCAGCTCGTGGAACTTGTCTGTGATGTTATGATCCCCACTCTGCTCTGTATCAGCCAGCTGAACTATGAGTAAAGAACAACAATAAATGAAGTGTCATTAACCTTTATTAATTTTCTCAATATTATGAAATTAAATTGTACTAAAAATGTTTTACAGCATTACATTAAACTTCTGCCCATGAAAGGCTGAAAAATTCATATCTCAAATAATAATGTGGTTCCCCAACACTCCACCCTTACACACAAAATGCTAATACAGTGGACCCCCGGTTAACAAACTTTTTTCATTCCAGTAGTATGTTCAGGTGCCAGTACTGACCGAATTTTTTCCCATAAGGAATATTGTGAAGTAGATTAGTCCATTTCAGACCCCCAAACATACACATACAAACGCACTTACATAAATACACTTACATAATTGGTCGCATTTGGAGGTGATCGTTAAGCGGGGGTCCACTGTATATGCATCTAAATAGTTTAGTGTTCCAGTCACCAATGAGAGGTGTGATATTTTTGTCTTGGCGAGTTTCAAGGAGTCATGCTGACCATGGTAATTATGGCTGAATCTTGAAGGAGAAAGAAGAGTGAGCCTGATACTGGTGAAGGGCTCTTGATCCAAGGAATTGGAGCTACCACTCATTTCCTCAGATCAAACCTGATTGCCTCTCATGTCCCATAAGAACATAAAAACATTAGAAAGAAGGAACACTGCAACAGGCCTACTGACCCATGCAGAGCAGGTCCATGTCCACCCCCCCCTGGATAAGCCCAATGACCCACCCAGTCTGGTCACCTCCACTCAAGGATGGAGCACTGCACCAGACCCAGCAGCACAAGCTAGTCAGGTCCAACTCACACCCACTCATGTATTTATCTAACCTATTTTTAAAACTACACAACGTTTTAGCCTGAATAACTGTACTCGGGAGTTTGTTCCACTCATCCACAACTCTATTACCAAACCAGTGCTTTCCTATATCCTTCCTGAATCTGAATTTTTCCAATTTAAAACCACTGCTGCGAGTCCTGTCTTGGCTGGAAATTTTCAGCACGCTATTTACATCCCCTTTATTTATTCCTGTTTTCCATTTATACACCTTGATCATATCCCCCCTAATTCTACGCCTTTCAAGAGAGTGCAGATTCAGGGCCCTCAGTCTATCCTCATAGGGAAGATTTCTGATACATGGGATCATCTTTGTCATCCTCCTCTACGTTTTCCAGAGCATTTATATCCATTCTGTAATACGGTGACCAGAACTGAGCAGCATAATCTAAATGAGGCCTAACCAAGGATATATAGAGTTGAACAACCATTGCATCAGTTTATTCAAATCATCCTGGAGTGCTCTAGTGTCCTCATTAGAATGAATTGGACGGCCTATTTTGGTGTCATCAGCAAATTTGCTTATGTCGCTATTTATTCCCTCATCTATGTCGTTTATGTAAATTGTGAACAATGGGCCCAACACTGACCCCTGAGAAACACCGCTTGTGATGTGCCCCCATTCTGATTATTCCCCATTTATGCAAACTCTCTGCTGTCTATTTGTCAGCCTTGCCTCTACCCAGGAAAAAATTTCTCCTATTCTGTGTGCCTTAAGTTTCCTCAATATCCTCTGGTGTGGAACTCTATCAAAAGCCTTACTGAAGTCCATATACACAATATCATATTCATTACCATGATCTACCTCCTCAAACACCTTAGTGAAAAAAGTATTATTATTATTATTATAATCAAAAAGAAGCGCTAAGCCACAAGGGCTATACAGCGCTGCAGGGTAGGGAAGGAAGCAAGGGAATTGGATGGCAGAAGGGAGGGGGGATGATCAGCAGGTTACAGAAAACAGCGGGGCAGGGGATAGTACGGGGGTAGAGGGTAGCAAGAGATTCAAGTAGAAAGGGCTGAAAGTATCAGAATTTGTGAAGTAAGTCAGTCGTTGTCAAAAAGTCAATGAGAGAGTCCGGATGAAAGGTGGGTCCATCAGCGAGAAGGGAAGGTAAAGAGAGAGCAGCGGGGCGAAGACGACGACAGAGGTAAATTCTGCGTGCTCGTTGATAAAGTGGGCAGTCCACAGAATGTGGCTGACTGATAATGGAGCTTGGCAATTCTCACAGAGAGGAGCAAGACGGTCTCTCCATGAGATATCCATGAGTAAGACGAGTATGGCCAATGCGAAGACGGGAGAGAGTAGTCTCCAACCTCGACACTGGTGATAAGAAGACGGCCAGTAACCTATACTCGGTTTAATAGACTGAAGTTTGTTGCCGAGCATAGTAGACCAACGTTGTTGCCAACGGGTTGTGAAGGTGGGAAGATATTACAGCAAAATAGTCCGTACATGGAATACCTCTATAAGAAACTGGTAGGTCATGTACTGCTGACCGCGCAGCAGTGTCTGCCTGTTCATTGCCCTGTACGTCAACATGACCAGGGACCCAACAAAAAAACAATATCTTTATGCTTAGTAAAGATGCGGCGTAGCCAAAGTTGGATACGGAGGACTAAGGGGTGAGGTGTATCAAATTTTTGTATAGCCTGTAAAGCACTAAGGGAGTCTGAGACAACCACAAATGATGACACAGGCATAGATGCAATACGGATAAGCGCTGTAAGGATGGCATATAATTCAGCAGTAAAAATACTAGCTGAAGATAGTAAATGCCCTTGTACGACGCTGTCCGGAAACACTGCTGCGAATCCTACGCCGTCAGAAGACTTAGAGCCATCTGTGTACACAGCAATGGCATGAGAATGAGAGTGAAAGTGGTCAAGAAAAAGAGAGCGGGGAAGCGACCGTAGACAGTTGGGCTTTCGAGCAAGGGAGGGAGAAAGAACAGACTCGAACAGCTGGAACTTCCCAGGGGGGTAGGGAAAAGTGAGATGCTACATGTACATAGAAGGTGGTAGTTGAAGAGAAGACAAGAGCGAATGAAGGCGAAGAGAGAAGGGACGGAGTAAGCAGGGGCGGCGAACAAATAAAGAATGTCTACTAATATCAGTGACCATTTATAAATGGAAGGATTGCGGAGATCATGAGAGCGTAGATAGTAGCGCAGGCAATGGGCATCACGGCGATCGGATAAGGATGGAACGTTCGCTTCTGCATAGAGGCTTTCGACAGGGGAAGAGCGAAAAGCACCAAGGCATAAACGTAATCCTTGGTGATGAATGGGGTTAAGGCTAGAGAGAGTAGCAGGAGATGCGCTGAATAGATCTGGTCACCATAATCAAGTTTCGAATAAAATAAGGGTGGAATGTAGGTGAAGGAGGGTTCGACGATCAGCTCCCCACGAAAGATGAGCAAGGGTTTTAAGAAGGTTCAGCCGGCTGTGACAAGTTGCCTTCAGAGAGGTAATGTGAGGTTTCCAGGATAACCTACGATCAAAGAGGAGGCCCAGAAACTTGACTGTATCACGTTCAGGGATACGTGAGCCATAGAGGTACAAAGGATGATCGGAGATGACAGAGCGTCTAGTGAAAGTGATTTGGTGGGTTTTAGTGCTGGAAAATTTAAACCCATGTGTGGTGGCCCAATTGGAAACACGGTCGACTGCATGCTGGAGAGAAACTGTAAGGAGGTGACAGTCAGCGCCTGCACAGGCAATAGCGAAGTCATCAACATAGAGTGATGACAAATATTTGATGGAAGACTAGAGGCCAAATCATTAATAGCAAGGAGAAAAAGTGTTGTGCTCAGAACACATCCCTGGGGGACACCTTCAGCTTGGATAAAGTCCGGGGAGAGCACATTATTAACCCGAACACGGAAATGCCTGTCAGTTAAAAAGTTCTTAAGGAAGGATGGTAGATTGCCTCGAAGGCCTAAGGAGTGGGCTTGGGCTAAAATATTATACCTCCAAGTTGTGTCATATGCCTTCTCAAGGTCAAAAAATATGGCAATAATGAGTGGTTATTTGCAAAGGCATTACGAACATACGTATCCAAGCGCAGTAAGGGGTCTATGGTAGAACGTCCCTTACGAAAGCCATATTGACGAGTGGAGAGACTGTTGTGTGTCTCTAAATACCACACTAAACGTTCTATTTACTAGACGTTCCATTACTTTGCAAACTGCACTGGTAAGAGCAATGGGACGATAGTGGGAGGTTTCATGTCCCGTAGTGCCTGGTTTGCGGAAAAGGGAGAACAATGGCGGATTTCCACAGCTGTGGAAGAACTCCTTGTGACCAAATAAGATTGTAAAGGGTAATAGGACTGCAAGGGCTGACTGATGTAAATGTTGTAGCATACGAATATGAATGTCGTCGGGCCCAGCTGCCGATGATCGACAAGCTGAGAGTGTTGCCTCCAGTTCTTGAAGTGTAAAAGGCACATTATACTGTTCTTCTCTGAGAGAAGAAAAAGTCCAAGGGTGCTAACTCTCTGGCAGACTTTGAGGAAGAAATGAGGGGCATAGATGGAGTCCCTGAGAAATACGGACCAGATGATTGCCAATTTCATTGGCAACATCTAGTGGGTTTGCTATATCAACACCGGCAACCCGCAGAACAGGAGCCGGGTCAGGAGAATATTTACCACTCAGTTTTCGTACTTTTTTCCAGACTGCACTCATAGAGGAAGCAGAGGTGATGGTGGAGACATAATCTCGCCAGCAAGTGCGTTTAGCGTCACGGATGACACGGCGAGCGATCGCACGCTTCTGTTTAAAATCAAGGAGTCGCTCTGTGGTTCTATTGTTACCGGTACCTGCCCCATGCAGCGCGTTTCAAACGTACTGCACGAGCACAAGCAGGAGACCACCAAGGCACGCATTTCTGAGAATGCCTGCCCGAAGTTTGGGGTATAGATGAGAAGCTGCGGTTGAAAACGGAGAGGACGAGAAGAGGTGTAAAAGCTCATCGATGGAGGACGAAGAAGGAACCTCTTTAAAAACAGTCAGGTGTGAGTAAAGGTTCAATTGCCCGATTAAATTGCCAGCGTGGGGTGCGAAGAGGTGGCGAATATGAAGGGGAAGTAAGAATGATTGGGAAATGATCACTGTCATGTAAGTCCGGGAGAACAGACCAAGTAAAGTCTAATGCGGTGGAGGGAAGAGCAACTGAGGATCGATGCAAGAGAGAGTATGAGTCCGAGGATCAAAATGGGTGTGAGTACCTGTATTTAAAACATGGAGGGGGTGGGTGGCAAGAAAGCCTCTAACTGAATTCCTCGGGAATCACAGTGAGACCCTCCCCAGAGGAAATGGTGGGCATTAAAATCACCAAGTAACAGAATCGGTGGCGGTAATGACGAAACAAGGAAGGCAAAATCCGGAATAGATAATGCCCGAGAAGGAGAGAGATATAAAGAACAGAGCGTATACCACCTATGTAAGTGGATACGGGCTGCTGTGTAATGCAGCGAAGTATGAACAAATAGCTGATGGTACGGAATTCAGTGCGGAGAAGAAGGGCACTTTCATTAAAGGTCCCATCAGGAAAAGGATCTGAAGAATACAATAAATTATAGCCTGAGATGTGAGAAATAACAGCAGAGTGTAATTTTGGTTCTTGTAAGCAAACACCAACAGGGGCAAACTGGGAGAGTAACATCTGAAGCTCACCCCGATTACCCCTGAGGCCGCGTATATTCCACTGTAAAAAGGCCATGATTGGCAATGATAGAGATACCTGAAATCTGCAGGTAAGGGTTCCTACGGACTAGAAGGGTTAGAAAAGTCCACATGCGGAGGCAGTGGAAAATGTTCAAGCAGTGAAGGAACGGTGCACTGTGAAGAAAGGAGTTGCGCAGATGGAGTAGAGGAGAGAGAAGGAGCGGAGGGTGGATCAGTGTCCATTGATGGTTTGGTCTCTGCAATATATTCAGAGATTGCTTCAAGTGTTTCAGAATTCAGAGACGTCGTATGGGAGACAATATTGGAAATGGTAGGGGGAGGATGAGTAAAGATTGGAACTGTAATGGACTGTACCAAGGTAGGGGGACACGGAAGGGTGGAGGGAACTGGAGAAGCGTGGAAGGGGACAGAAGAGGCAGAAACCTGGGAGGTGGCCGAAGAGGAAGAAACTTGGGAGGGGACAGGGGAGAAGGTACAGTACGAGGAGGAGGGTGAAACCTTACACTTGTAACAGAGCCAGTGAGAGGGGGAGAAACCAGGTACAGAGACAGGGAAGGGAAATGAGAGGTGGAAGATGGGTAGGAGGTGTTAACGGACCTTTTTTTGACTTTTGAGAAGTAGAGGGATGATTGGGAGGAGGTTGTTCATACGAGATCTCGTCGCTACTGAGGCTTGTGAGAGAGAACACGAAGAAGCAAGATCAGACTGAGACGTTGAGGTAGGGACGTCTGAGCCGAGGACAGCAAAAGAATTAGCTACAGGAGTGACTATGGGAGAGGTAACCACAGAGGTGGGTGCAGAAGATGGGATACCAGAAGTGGGGGGACGTTTTGAAACACAGGAATAAGAAACACGAGGTAGTCTCCCTTGGAGGCGAAGATGAGAAACTGCCATGGCATAAGGGAGACCTTCTGCCTCTTTGAGGTAACGGATTTCCCACTCGTTTAAGTAGACTTGACAACGGTGAGAGTACGAAGGGTGAGCCTCATGACAATTAAGGCAAGAGGGAGGTCGATTGCAAGACGTATTAGAATGGTCATCGGCACCACAGACTGGGCATTCGGCGATAGATCTGCAATATTTCGCTGGATGGCCAAATCGCCAGCAATTTCTACTGTTGCGGTGTAGGGATCACCTTTCGAACTTGTAACCGATGTCCTGCTACATAAACTGAGGATGGGAGTTCACGGCTGTCAAAAGTTAAACGAGCCACATTGCTAGGGTATCGTCTCCGCCCGCGGGCAGGAAGAACGTAAGTGTCTACCTTGAGGATTGGGAGATCTTGGAGTTCCAGCTGATCAAGAATGTCAGTGCCACACGTCTGGAAATTTTGTTGAACTATGGTATGGGGCAGAATGACGGTACCACTACAAGAATTGAGGGAATGATGCTTTTCAATAGTTACAGGAACAGTATCGATATGGGAAAGACGAGAAAGCTCATGAGCCTGGGTAGCATTCTGTACGGTGACGATGCGCGTACCGCTCTTAAGAGCATGAAAAGAAATATCTTTACCAACATGGCGTAGGAGTGCCTTGCCAATACTGTGGTCAGAAAGATAGGAAGTAGAGGAAGTCGGTCGTAAAGTGAAGAATTTAGTCCATTGTGCAGTCTGAAACCGAGCGTGGAAAGGTAGTGAAGGACGTGTCGATCTTTTCTGAGAAGAACGAGAAGGTGGAGAAGTATCATCAGCAGGTAATTGTCGTTGTATTTTAGGCGTGGGACCAGAGTTGGTCTGACGTGGAACGGGCCGGCGATTTGAAAATTGCCGCACCATAGAGGGAGAGGCCGGAAGCATAGTCAGAGGAGAGCGAAGGTCAGATAAATCAAAGGAGTCAGTCGAGGCCTCAGTACCTGAAGCGGGTGAGGAAACAGCACCGGCAAGAGGTGCATGAGGAGTGTCCGAAGAGTGGTCCAAAGACGAGGCGGGGTCAGAACGGGGTGCGGTATCAAGAAGGGGCCCGGGGGTAGCAGGTTCATGGACTAGGGCTGCCATGGTTAGGTTACTTCTTTCTTTTTGTTTTTAAGAAAAAAAGAAAGAAAAGAAAATAAAAATAAAAAAAAGAATAAAAAAAAAGGGGGGGGACCGGGAAGGGATAGTTCCTAGGAGGAATGAAAGGGCCAGAAATCTCCCTCCACGCCCAAGAGGACCTCAGCACCGCAAGTAGCGCAGATGCAGCATGGAACCCGTGCCATACCCTACCCATCATGCCAGTAAACCGGCAATCCGGGATAGCAACCTCACATCTGCCGAGCTACCTCGGTGGACAAAAGAGAGGGCGGCCGGAAATCCGCCACAAAGCATACCTCCTTCGGCCACCACCCCCGGAATCCGAAAGGTGGCTTCCAGAGATAACCCGTCGCCTGAGAGACACCCAAAGCCACCCTCCGGGATACCGGAGAGGGATCAGGACATCCCCAGGCAATCCAGATTCCACGGCAAACTACGCCACCGCCAAGAACCTCAACGGAATGGGATGGACCCCAGTACCCTTTCCCCTACCTAGGAACTAGCGTGCCTGTGGGAAAAAAAAAAAAAAAAAAAAAACCAAAGGCCAAAAAGGAAAGGAAAAAGGGGAGGATGGGATAGGGAATGGGGGATTGGGGGGTAATTAGGTTCGGTCTGAGGAAGTAGACCGACAGGTCTAATTCCTCAGACCAAGAGCCTCTTCACCACTCCAAGGAGCCCCCCTTGAAGAGGTGACCAGGCCTAGAATCTCCAGAAGGCCTGGTCTGAGACCAGGCTGTGGGGGCACTGGCCCCCCGGAAGTACCCTTCAGGACCCCCTTATAGCTTTAGCACTTCATGCTTACTCGAACTAAAATTTATGCCTCTCAATTGAATAAGTTTTGATTTATTCAGAATACATTTACCTCACTTGTACCTAATGATACCCTGCTCCATATATTTCACTTCTTCCTTTACCTCACTGGCTCTCTTTTTGCATTCCTCACCATTCTCTTAATTCTCTCTACACATTTCTACATTGTAACAGTCCCTCATATGCTAAACTTTTTTGGTTTTATCACCCTCTGTACCTCATTCCACCAATCATCCCTCTTCCGACCTGCACCCCTCCTCCTGCATCCATGACCTTCTGCTGTGCATTCGTAAAATCTACCCAATACTTATTTGACATTACTCTAGCTGGCCCATCTTTCTCCCAAAAGTTCCTTATACTTTCTCCTGTCTTCTGTTAATCTCTTATCCACCAATGCAGTTCTCCTTCTACTCTATCTACCTCTTACTCTCGCTGTAGCTACCACTAAATAATGATTAGATAATTCTGTTGCCCATCTAAAAAAAAGAAGTATCCAGAAGTAAACCTTCAACCTTAAAAATATATCTACATTAGGTCTGGACACTTGTATTCATGCCCATTTTAACATTACATAGTCAAAATATATGAACAAGTCTCCTTCCATCTGTTGCCTAAATACCTTCCATCACTTCCCCCTACAGACGCTGTATAATCCCGATGGGTTTAGCCTTCCTCCTTGATTATAATACTGTAATCCATTTGTTGCCCCTGGTCACCTGGCAGTAAGCAGGTATCGAAGAGTTATTTTACTGTCGTGGTTCGCATTCTATTATTATTATTATTATAATAAAAAAGAAGCGCTAAGATCCGCATTCTAGAGATGACTAAATAATTCAAACGGAAATAAACCACACTACTTGACTTTCTTGGGTTAATATCATTACATTCATGGAGGAGCAGCAAATGCATATGGGTCGTACAGTTCATGGAGGAGCGGAATGCTAAGCCTGTACGAGGAATGGGAGGCAATCAGGTTTTATCCTGGGATCAAAACTCCCACACCAACAACAAAACTCTGTTGTGTTCTTACTCCTCGGTGTGGTATTGTGAATACAAAAAGGTGTAAGCACTGATGGTGTGGAGAAAGACGAAGATGCGGGAGGGTACAGACAGCTTGTAGCCCACCAAGGTCATAGAAGACGTGACCTGCACCACTGATACTATTTACCACCTGCCCAGGTGCCCACACCAACTAGGTGACTGACCAGGGAAGATGGTGAGAGCGCGTGCGCGCGTGCTCGAGAGAGAATCAATACAAAATAATCAGGTCGAAAAACATTATGAATACATTCACAATACAAAAAAAAAAAAAATCGCTGTCCTCTCTTTCTGCAGCTTTATCCATAAGATACTGATTGGCTCTATCTATTCTTACTATTTTATAAGAGTAGCCTCAACATAGGTAACCGATTTCACTTTATTACTGTATAATAAGTGTTCGAGGCCTTGTCACCTACAGTGGGCACAACAAAATCAAGTTTTCTTTTTCCTAGTGCCATACTGGTTTTACCTGGAGTTTACCTGGAGAGAGCTCCGGGGGTCAACGCCCCCGCGGCCCGGTCTGTGACCAGGCATCATGGTGGATCAGAGCCTGATCAACCAGGCTGTTACTGCTGGCTGCACGCAATCCAACGTATGAGCCACAGCCTGGCTGGTCAGGTGCCGACTTTAGGTGCTTGCCCAGTGCCTGCTTGAAGACAGCCAGGGGTCTATTGGTAATCCCCCCTTATGTATGCTGGGAGGCAGTTGAGTAGTCTCGGGCCCCTGACACTTATTGTATTGTCTCTTAACGTGCTAGTGACTCCCCTAGTTACCAACACTTACAAAATATGCAGCATGGCATTTTGGATACAGGTTATTAGCAATTCTGTATAAATGGTTGAGTGTCGGCTGCTTTACTCTACCAGTTTTTTTAATTCACTCTGGCCTACATATTTTCTTGGACCATGATCCAGGATGAATCTCACCATCTTTGAGTAATTTGTAGTGTTTTTCAGTTGATTTTGATGGTGAGGAGCATCATGAAGAACAAGAATAATGTGCATGACACTGTATGAAAGCTAAACAATGTTTTGTATGCCTGAATACGTGAAAAAGAAATCCAAAATTGGTACTACCTCCCTTTACTTTAATCGAATTTGAGTGCCTCCAATTCCTTTGGTGCAATATGGCTTCACGGGTCTAGTGCTCCCCATGAATGTAGGTTTAATAATGGTGCTCAGGACGAAAAAAGAAAAAAAACTTAAGGGAGCATGAAGTAATTTTAAGCAATGGAAATAATAACTGCAAAGTGAGAAACTGAAGGAATCTTTAACAAAGAAAACAGTAACATGGGAGACTGATGAAATCTTCAACGACAACAATAAGAGGAAAGGAAAGGCTTCAGAAATCTAAAAACAAAAACAAACTCAAGGAGAGATTGACGGACTCTTAATAAAGAAAACAGTAACAACAAAGGAATTGTTATAATAGTCATAGCTAAGCGCTAAACCCACAAGGGTCAACAAACGAATGACTAAAAGATTCTTCAACTAAAAAACGTTAATTGCAGGGGAAACTTAAGAACTCTTAAAGGAGAAAAAATAAGGAGAGTAATGGGAACGCATAAGGCAGATTTACAAGAAACTGACAGCGAAGCAAAGATTAAATACGTTAAAAAAACAAGGGTAACAAGTCAGACTGAAGATAACGACTTGCGATTAGTACCCTAGGGTTAATAACCTAGGATAAACAAAGAACCATGCAGCGTGGCTGATTTCCATTCGGGTTATGTCCTCTCCTAAGCTTAATACGGCCCATGATAAAAGACTAAAACCCAGGTACATACTTACATCATATACCGCTAAGAGACCAGGGGCAGAAAGTGTCAGACTTGCTGATACGTCTCGCTTTGACCAGGATTTATACCTGGGTCCCTTCAGTTATCAACGGAACGGCTTATCGCTGAACCAGAAGGCACCCATGATTTATTAATGCTAAAAATTATAAACTTGTAGTACATACATACATACACTGGCAATTTATAAACTTATATAACCCGACGATCGCAAACTATTAACTAATGATGTCTGGGAATCGAATAAGTTATCTCCCATTACTTCAGAGAATAAGACAATGAGAACAAAATAATTTTAGCAGCTGAAAAGCAAAATGCAAACATTTGAATGCCATAAATAACAATGTTTAAAATGATGATGATAGCCTGTTTATATAATATAATTATTCCGCCAACTATGCCAAGATCAGAAAACGATACTACAGAAAGGCTCCACAGAGGCTTACATGCTTAAGCCTGACTTGGTGTCAGTCAAAAGAACCAGGCCCAAGAGCCAGAGGTCACCCCCGCTAAATAAAATACTAAATTACTAATTTGCTCAAGCCCTTCAAGCTGCCTCCCCACTCACCCTCATCCTATTTCCACAATTACTCCACGCACCCTACCCTTACACTTATATAACATCCATATCTTCAGCAACACCCTTACTATTACTTGCTTCCTCTCCTAAACACTTGTTGGCAGGTGTTCACTGGAGCTACCTCATGCCATCATTCACCTGCTGAACCCACTAACTGCCAGTCCCTGACACCCACCCATCCCATGACTATCATACTCACAACCTGCATTATACACCCAAACATCCTACACCCATAACTTACGTCCGAGCACCCAAACATCATATCACTTTCTCCACATCCACAGTTTCCACCACACACTGGCGTAAAAGAATAGATACCACTCGAAGAGGTAGTGGAAGCAAGCACCATACATACATAAGTCTGAGCACGTATAATCGGCTCATGGAGTCTGGCAACCAATAAAGTCGGATAAGAATTAAAAGGCGGGACCAAGTGCAACTGATCGCCCACTGCAAACACAACTGGGTGACTTACACGATCACAAACCAGGACAACATGGATTTAGAGCAAAACTTTCCTGTCTCTCGAATAGATAACTGTGGCATGCTTTTGGATTTAATAGAAGACAAAAACGCCAATCTAATATCAACAGATTTCGCAAGAGTATTTGGCATATGTGACTATGGTGTAATGACATACAATGTGTGGCAAGAGAAATAAATGGACAACGGGACAAAGTGGGTTTCAAATTCTTAACATATCAGCCCCTCAAGGAAGGTTCCTTGATGTTGGTGAGGGGCTCTTGATTTAGAGAATTGGATCTGTGCTCCAGTTCCCCGAATTAAGCCTGAATGCCTTCCACATCCCCCCCCCCAGGCGCTGTATAATCCTCCGGGTTTAGCGCTTCCCCCTTGATTATAATAATAATAATTAACATATCAGACCCAAAGAGTAATAATAAAATTAAGAGGCCTTCGCTGTAAAAAGCCTTGCTCCTCAAGGCACGGTACTCGTACGAATATCTGTTTTAATAACTCGCAAAGAAATACATGACACACAACGCTATATCATGCTTCTTGGATAGCACTAGCTGTTGGTCGACTGTTGCGAGTCGCAACCTGGGAGGGGAAGAAGGTATTACATCTTAAGAATAGGCTTTAAAATAGTCGAGCTGAGGGGGGATTAAGGTAAGATAAAAGCACAATCTCTAAAAATCACTGAAGTAAAACACATTCACTACCAACATCCATCAGGCATTCCCAGTAAATTTATTGGGAAATGCCTAAAATCCATTAATTAAGCTGTATTTCAAGGGACGGAGACGAGGCTACATCGCAATTTACTACTAGAAAACACTATCTACATACATATAACTCCTTATGAGAAGGTATGGGAAAAGATGGTAAAAAGTAACTAGTGAAAATTTGCATGAGTATATAAATTTAGTACTGTAACTAGAGATCCTCTTCTCAAGGATGAGCCTCACTAAAGTAGGCTAATACTAGGGTACCTACTTACTGCTAGTAGATTATTATTATTATAATCAAGGGGAAGCGCTAAACCCGGAGGATTATACAGCGCCTGGGGGGGGATGTGGAAGGCATTCAGGCTTAATTCGGGGAACTGGAGCACAGATCCAATTCCCTAAATCAAGAGCCCCTCACCAACATCAAGGAACCTTCCTTGAGGGGTACTGCTAGTAGAAAAAGAGGGCAACAGGTGTTAAGGAAACAAGCCCAATGCTTCCACTAGTGTCGGGATGGAAACCGATTCCTTCTGTTAAGAGCATATATTTGTACGCTCATATGCACATGTCCGTGCGTGCGCCCTCGCGTGTGTATGTGTGTGTGTGCGCGCGCGCGCTAGTGTGGGTGTTTGATCCACTTAATATTTGTATTTATAACTCATTACAATTGTGACCAGGTGTGGACGTATCAGTGGTTTATTACTTTGTAATTTGTTCATGACTGTAACCATGTGTAGGAGTGAGGATGATTCATTACCTTTGGAACTTGCCATGATTGTGACCAGATCTACCTGGAGTTCATTACCTTTGTAACTAGTTCAGCTATCATAACTTTGGGGTCCAGTCCCTGGACCCATTATGTACCTTTGTAATCTTTTGACTACCGCCCACAGGATGGGTATGGGGTGCATAATAAAGATATTAAACTAAACTGTGTGTGTGTGTGTGTGTGTGTGTGTGTGTGTGTACTCACCTAGATGAGGTTGCAGGGGTCGAGTCCAAGCTCCTGGCCCCGCCTCTTCACTGGTCGCTACTAGGTCACTCTCCCTGAACCATGAACTTTATCGTACCTCTGCTTAAAGCTATGTATGGATCCTGACTCCACTACATCGCTTCCCAAACTATTCCACTTCCTGACTACTCTGTGGCTGAAGAAATACTTCCTAACATCCCTTTGATTCATCTGTGTCTTCAACTTCCAACTGTGTCCCCTTGTTACTGTGTCCAGTCTCTGGAACATCCTGTCTTTGTCCACCTTGTCAATTTCCCCTCAGTATTTTGTAAGTCGTTATCATGTCCCCCTATCTCTCCTGTCCTCAGTGTCGTCGGTTGATTTCCCTTAACCTCTCCTCGTAGGACATACCTCTTAGCTCTGGGACTAGTCTTGTTGCAAACCTTTGCACTTTCTCTAGTTTCTTAACGTGCTTGGCTAGGTGTGGGTTCCAAACTGGTGCCGCATACTCCAATATGGGCCTAACGTACACGGTGTACAGGGTCCTGAATGACTCCTTATTAAGATGTCGGAATGCTGTTCTGAGGTTTGCTAGGCGCCCATATGCTGCAGCAGTTATTTGGTTGATGTGC